TCTATCAGTGGAGGGTAAAGAGCCCATGTAGTAGTTAGGGAACTTCATTAGGGTGAGAGGTTAGAGCTGCCCAGTAGGCCAGGAAGGAAGCATGATACATCTCCAGTGACAGCGTGCAGGCTGCCCGTGTCTTCTGCCTGATGCCTGTGGCTTCCACTAGCCTGGAAGAGTTGTCCTAGAGCTGTGGCTGGTCCTACTGAAGGGGATTGTTAGTGGCAGGTCCCGTGTTCTCCCCAGGGCCCTCCCATGAGACCAACATGGGCCAGAAGATACCCAATTCCTACCTCCATCTCTTGGCCACCTCCCTCTGAGGTCATCTCAGTCCCAGTCCCAGTGACTCATGGGCTCCAGGGGCTGGAGGACAAACCTGGATCCTTCTTGTATGTAGCTCTGGCACCTTCCATGCCTGCTGTGTGATGAGTAAGCGGCCGTGACTCGCCCGCAGAGTGCTCGTGTGTGTTGGGGTCCAGCCCAGTTTGTGGCTGTCCCTGCCACCTCTCTGTCAGCTTGTTTCTGGCTTCTGCATCACTGCCTCCTGTTCATTTCTCAGAGATGAGGAAATACAGCCACATGCGGGCCAGGGAGCCCCTGAAAGGGCCCACAGAGGGCAGGCCTCAGTTTGACTTAGAAGCCTCACAAAGTCTTGAGAATTCAGCACTTAGCATAGCAAAGAATTATCTCAGAGAGCTAGCACCTCACAATCACCACAGTCTTGACAGACTCAACAAGATTAGTGAAGGCAAAAATTCCTGCTCAGATTTGTAAGTAAGATATCAGGATCACAAAGGGCTAGGTGTCCGGTTTGGAGGCATCTTAAAGATGCCACACCCAGGCATGGAGAGATGGCTCAGCAGTTAAGAGTACTGGCTGCTCTTGCAGAGGACCTGGGTTCAGTTCCTAGTACCCACTGGCAGCTAACAACTGTCCTAACTCCAGTTCCAGGAAATCTGTATGCCCTCTTCTGACCTCTGTGGTCATTGTATGATATGGATGAACTTAGGTACATGCAGGCAATACACTCATACACATAAAAGATAAATTTTTTTTTAAAAGATGACACACCCAGCTTCTGCAATTCAACTCTTGAACCTTGGGGTGGAGTTTCCAAGGATAGTATTAGATGAACTAAGAGAAGGGTCCAGAAATAGACCCAAGTTCATAGATACCTGACAAAAACTGCTTGAAGGAGGAAAGGATTATTACAGAGGGTCGAGTCCACGGCCTTCTGACTCCATTGCTTTTAGGTCTGGGGCAAGGCAGTGACATCACTGTGACAGCAATTGACCAAAGAAAGCTGCTCCCATCTTGTAGTCTGGGGCAAGGCAGTGACATCACTGTGACAGCAATTGACCAAAGAAAGCTGCTCCCATCTAGAGAGAGAGAGAGAGAGAGAGAGAGAGAGAGAGAGAGAGAGGACATAAAGGCAATACATATCCTTCAAAGGCACACCTCAGTGACCTATTTCCTCTGCCTGGGCCTTGGCTCCCAGTAGCCTGTTCTGTATGGACACATCAATGGACAAATCTGCTGGAGAACTGAATATTCTCATGGTCCAATCACCACCTAATAGCACAAAAAGCTGGGGACCAGACCATCAATACATGAGCCTATTGAGGGACATTCCATATTCAAACTATAATAGGTTCAGTAGGGAAAATTGGTCCATTTAATACACAGTGTTGTGCCTTCAAATGACAACAAAACTGGCCCCCACTTCTTTGTGGGATCCCTAAAACACAATCTCAACACAAGAAGGGAGTCTGTACAAGCCCCAGTGGAAACCCAGGAGCATGGAAGACAGGGGGCATTATGTGCAACTCAGATGCTCAAATCATTAAAAGAAAAAACAATGGATAATTCCGAGTCCAGTAGAAAAGCCCATAATCAGAGCTAGGAAGATGGCTCAGTTGATTAAGTGCTGTGCTGAGTTCAGATTCCCAACACCCACATGAAGACTGAGCATGGTGGTACATCTCCAGCACTGGGGTTGGAGACAGATGGATCCAGAGAACTTGCTGGCTAGCCTAGCCTATTCGGTGAGCTCTGGGCTCAGGGAAAGATTCTGTCTCAGAAATACAGTGTACGTTTGGTGAGACAGCTCGGCTGGTACAGATACTTGCCACGAATCCTGATGACCTGAGTTTGATGCCTGGGACCCACATAATGGGCACAGAGAACCGACTCCAGCAAGTTGTCTTCTGACCTCTACCTGCATGCTGTGGCACGTGTATATGCGTACACACACACCATACACTATAACCAGAGTCAAGAGATGAGTAACAAGCCTGGCAGTATTTGCAAATGATGTCACAGAATCACCAAGGCCAGTGGTCTACACTCGGAAGGTACTCCTGAAGTGCAAAAGAAAACAGCAGGCACGGGGCTGGAGAGATGCTCAGTGGTTAAGAGCACTGGCTGCTCTTGCAGAGGACCCAGGTCCAATTCCCAGCACCCATGTGATGGCTAACAACCATCTGTAACTCCAGTTCTAGGGGATCGGACAATCTTTTCTGGCCTTACCAGGCACACATATGATACACATGTGTACATGCAGGCAAACATTTATTAAAAAAATTCTCAAGAACAAGAGCTGAATAGAAAAAAAAAAGTTGGACAAAGGCTAAGGCATGAAAGTTTCCAGCAAACACAATCACTTGGACCGTGTAATCCTGCCACTGCCCTAAATAGGTGCCCGACCTGTCCATGTCCCAGGCTGGTGTCCAGCACCCAGCTGCCCACCTCCACTTCCTCAAGCCCCACAGATGGGTCACTGCAGCCGGCAGCTGCCTCCTGCAGCTCAGAGCTCCGGTGTGGATGAGAAGAAGAGGCCCCTAAAACGGGCCTCCGCAGCTTTTCCTGGAGCCAGGCCCAGGGACTCCAGTGAAGTGGAGGAGGGCCTCGGGGTGCCTGAGGCAGGTGGCCAGGAACAGGCTTGCTGCAGGGACAGGACCCCTGTGGAAATTAGGGAAACCCGTGCCCAGCTGCGAACAGAACCATGAGCCTCATGTTCTGATTTCCAAGCATTCAGAAGAAATGCAGGATTTTGATCTCGGGCCAAATTTTTAATAAGGAAAATTCATCCACAGATGCTCTGCTATCGGCCAATATATCCAGTTATTGGAATCTGAGAGATTTAGTGGCAGGCGGTTGTTTATTTGCTCTCTGGATGAAACCATTTTTCTTGTGTATTTAATCTCCTGGCAGAATATTTTCCTTAGCAAATACCGTCTGAGACAGCAAATCCATGCTGGTCCCATTGGGTCCTTATTTTGCCTTCCAGTGACTCACAGAGTGGGCATTTGTACATTTGTTTTTTTAACTGTGTCATTAAGGAGAAATTACACAGAAATCAGCCCATAATTACAACCTGTGACAGGAGCCGTGTCTGATTGTGTGCATAAAAGGCTCTGTCATGCTGGGGACAGGACAGGGGCCTCTCAGCCTAGGTGATGGCTTTATTGAAACTCAGGGATTTTGGCTGAAAAACCATCTGCTTGGGCCCATGGGCATGAGGCTCTGAAGGCCACATCACATTCAGGGTAATTTGTAAACATAAAAGTATGAAAATGCCTCCCACCTCTAAAAGTTTTAATTGAAAGCTCATCCTGTGGCTGGCGTGAGGGCTGGCTTCTCAGAGAGACGTGCTTGCAGTTAATGAGGCTGTAATGAAGGTCTGGCTTTCCCCAACCCTTCCTCCTCCTCCCCTCTCATATCACTTCTTAGCGGATGTTGCGAAACCCCAGGCCGAAGAGATCAAATAAAAGAAAAGCAAGAAAAGATTTTTCCTTTTATTCCAAAGAGTATGGTTGGGTGAACGATTGGGTCATGGGAAGACTGTAGGATAAAATTCTCTTGGGGTGTAGGGAAGATGGGGGGCTGCGAGGTCAGGATGGAAATGGCCAGGGAGCATGCTAGGACCCTTGTCCGGGGTCTGGTGACTGAAGTGAGAGGAGAGCTGGCCAAGAGGGAAGAAGGGTAATGGGCCGTGACCTCCGCAGGGAACCAGCTAAGTCCAGCCTGCAGACTGGATGTGGATGCTTTAGGTGGGGGATTGCGCAATACAAAAATCATACACTTACTTAAAATATTGAGAGATACCATTGTGGTTTCTTTCTGTAACTTGATTTGTGTTTTTCCCAGCATGAGCCTTGTAGATGACATTTTGTCTCCATCTGTGTTGGCAGCCCACCCAACTGAGGACCGAGGACAGGGCCTGGGTCCAGGCTGTGGTCCGTTAAATAGCAGTGGCTGGGAAGACTGTGTGTCAGGCCTGGCTGGCCACAGTGTTCAGCATCCCACCCAGAGGCCTTCCATAGTCCTTCCCACCTTCATCCTGAGCATCATCCTGTTGCTCTAACTACCGTCAAGGGCCAGGTAGTAAAGTTCCTGCTGTGACCAAGCTGGACACAGTCTCCAAATGTCCACAGTTGCCTCCTTCCTAGTCGTTTCCCATGATGTCAACCTTCCTTGGGCACTGGACCATCGTCTGTCCTTAGACATCCTTAGACTCTTAACTCCACAACGCACTGAGCCTCACAGATGCCGGTTCACCCCGAGTGCCATCAACACCCTGCCTGCGGACCAACCAGCTGTCCCAGAACCAAGGACACGTGTGCCTTCTCTGCTCACTGGTTGGCACATGTGCCCTGCATCACTTCCCCAAGCAGGGTGGATTCACTTTCATCTTCATTGGTGGGGTCTGTGGGCAGCCACCAATGGCATGGGGGCCATCTGAGAAGGGTGCGTCTTCCAGGTTCCTGCCTTATGCCTTGGAGGAGAATGGGGAAGGGTATGGGGTAAAGGGTGGGCTCTGAAGGGCAGCCTAAGGAGAGGGAAGTTCTAAGCCTTTGGGGAGTGTGTATATGGGGTGGGGTCCAATGAGGAATGTGCCCACTGTCCTCTCCCCCTTCTGAAAGAATCACCCACGGTCTAGGCTCTACTCACAAGGGCCTGGAGGGCCGGTTACTTTTCCGGTGCAGAAACGACAAGCACAGCCAGAACACGTCCTAACACCTTTATTGTTCCTTAGATAACTGGATAGTACAAAGTTTCCCTCTTTTATTTTTAATTTTTGGTCTTAAAAAATGACCTTTCCACACATTGCTGCCCTTGGGGAGTTCTTTCTTGTAGGAAACTGAAGTTTCCCAAAATGCACCTTTCCCATCACGGTTACGTGACTCAGATAGCTTAACAAGAAAAGAATTTCTTTGATTATTATCAACATGAACTTGACTAAGTCTTCATAAGGGTGAACACTGATTTTTTTTTTTCTTTTTAGAAACAAAAACCATCCACTTACCAGTCCAAACTACGGCACTGCATGACAACGTTCATTGCATAAATTGAATACATGGAGTTACCACCTCGGGGGATTACAGACGGACATCTCACAATCTAGCTACGGGGTACGCAAGTTCAACAATGTGGGTACGGCAACTTCACTCTACGCACACCCACCATCGCTTTGGGAAGTACTAGACACACGGGTCCATGAGCTACCGGGAGTCTCGGCACAGTTAATCTAAGAGACAACAACACAGTCAAGAAAAAGGCAGCTGCGATATGTGTGGGACTGACCCAGCCTACGCAGAGCGCCGCGGGGTCGGGGGCTCTGGGGAGGGGGCATGGCCATCACATCATCGCGCTGATCACAACCTAAGGAAATGTCCATGCAATCCTAACAGTGGGTTGTTCTTGGGTGAGAGGGGCCAACAGTCACTGCCTTGTTTGTTTAGTATGTTATGTGACCAGAGAGGGATAGGGTGGGGTGGGGACAGCCAGGGGGCCTTGGGCTGCAGTTCCAGCCGCAAACATGGGGGTTTCTTCCCAAATCCATGGCCCACCCACGTGAATGAGGGGGAGGAACCCAGAGATCACACCAGCCCTGGGAGTCCGAATCACAGCTACTGATCTCTCAGAATCAGGACTGTTAGTATATTCCTAGTATTATTTCGGCAGCTGTTTCATGGGAGTGTCCTTGGGGGTGAGGACTTGGACCCTTTGCTTCTGGGCAAATGGGAGCTACAACTCGTCAGAGCGGATGACGTGGAAGAGGGTGACGTTGTAGAGGGTCTGATGGCCGTTGTTCCAGGCGTACAGCGCGCGGTCCTTGGGGTTATAGTCCAGCATGGAGATGTGGGAGTATTTGTTCTGGAAGGGGATGTCGATGTACTCGTAGGTTGAAGCATTGGTCTGGTAGGCGTAGTGGACCTTGGTGCCCCCCGAGTAGCCATTGGTGACGTAGAGGGTCCCGCAGATGATGAAGGCTTCCCCAGCGCTGCGCTTGGGGTAGCTGGTGTTCCAAGTCTGCAGGATCTGCAGCGAGATGGGGTCCAGCTTGCTGATGACGATGTTACCGGCATTCTGGTTGGTGGCGTAGACGGCCCAGAGGCCGTTCTCGTCCACCATGAGGTCGATGTCCGAGTGGCCGCCCCAGGCATAGTGATACATGTTGTTGTAGCCCGCGTAGTCCAGGCTGCGAGTCTTCAGAATGGTCTCCGTCTTCAGGTCGAACCTGATGATGATGTGGCTCTGGAACTTGTTGAAGTAGATGGAGCCGTTGTAGACCACCTGCCCCGTCCCCGACCAGGGGTGTGGGAGACGGTGCGAGGTGAAATTGTCTGTGTTCATGAAGTCCACCATAGACTTGTACTCTCGGACGAAGCGGTTGTTGTGGTAACCATCCATGTACCAGACCTGCGGGGAGAGCAGATCTGGTTATGGGGTACAGTGGGTGGGCCGAAGGGGCAGGCATCTGTCTTCCCACTGAGTTTAAGAGAAGAAACTGGAGGGTCCATCAGGACTCCAGGGCTTCCTATCCTACCTCCAAGACCAATGGATTTTATTTTCTCTTCAAGGGACAGGCCTATTTTCCTACCCCTGAGACTGGGTCATCGAGGGTGAGGGATGCACACGGTGGGGGGGGGTGACAGGCAGTCGGGGGCTCTGGAGTCTTGTGCATAAACGGCCTGCAGCCACTCTATGCAACATATGCCGGTGGGTAGTGTGGGAAACCCCAGCAGGTCCCCAGATGGAGCTTGAGACATCACCACACTGTAGGACAACGGTCATGTTTGTTTGCTTACTGTTGAACCCCGACCAAGGGCTGAGAAAGGAGCCCCACCAGAGCAGGGCCCCAAGGCCAGAGCCCGTGCAACAAAGGGTACAGATGCCAGGCCCTGCTGGAGACAGATGCTCCTGTCTGCAGTGACAACTGGCTCTGAAGGTCACCGCGAAGGGCCATCTTCCCGTGCACCAAAGGGACCTGTGCGTGAGTCCTCTCGCACTGAGTCACAGACGCACAGGCTGAGTCATCTCTGCTGAGGAGAGCGGAGGGACGACATTAATGGGGCCTTTGGCTTGCTTTGGTGATGGCTCATTCCCTAATCTAGGGAAAGCACTTCTAAGACAGGAACGTGGGCCTCAAAGCTGGCTCTGCTTATGGAAATCCACCAAAATAACAACCCCCGCAGTGGCCCAAGTTTGGGGTCATAGAGGAAAAGCTGTCTGGTGATTGCTTCCATGCCAATTGACCCAAGATCCGTCTAGACACTGAGCGAAACACTTTAGTCATTCTCAAGCAATATGGAAACAAATAAAAAAGTGAGCCGGTTAGCAGAGGGGACCTGGTGCCTAATGCCGCTGCCAGCATCTGCCTGGCGATGAGACAGCTGCTTTATCCGCTGAGGGCTCTGGAAGCCGCGCAGGGATTAGGGCTGCAGCAGCTCTCGGGCTTAGCATGACACTTGTGTTAAAAATTAAAAAAAAAAATCGTAACTGTGTTTCTGAGACATCCATTCAGATGCTTATGAGCAGCTGTGTCTTTTGTTTTTAATGAGATTTAAAAAGAATTAAACTGGGTCTCATTGTGCTTGTTATGAGGCTCTCTATCTCTCTCAGGCCAGCCCTCAGTGATGTGGGTCACAGATCAGAGCCAGTGGACAGAGCCAGGAAGGGCACTGGACATACCAAGCCATGGTCTCTCTGGGGAAAAGCTGCCCACCCCTTCCTTTCTCACTTGGCTACCTTGTGGGACCGGGATCTGTTCACCACTGTACAGTCTTCTCCAAATGCCTTCTGCCCAGCCTTCCCTGCCCACTTCTAAAGCAAGCTCCTCTCCCCGACCCTGGTACTTTGGAGTATACCCTCCATGGTGGAAAGCTGGTGATTTATTTCTGTACTTTTGGGGCCCCGCATATGACCAGATGACACCAGCCTCCAATTACTAAGGACTCTAACATGTCCTTTTCTTTCACACACTGGGAAATTAGACACAGGACATACCACTTTCTGAAAATGAACAGTAGGATGAATTGGGGGTGGAGGGCCCAGGGGCTGAATAATTCGACCGTAGGCTCCAGGCTGGGGTGGCTCAGGGAGGCTGCTTGGGATGTGGGCCTCCTCTGTGGAAGGCAATCTCATGACTCAAACCCCAGAGGGCCTCATGAGATCGAGCTATGTTTCCATTTCCACAGGGGCTATCCCTTCTCTGGGCTTTGTAACCTCCCCATCTGAAACACCCTCGTCTTCTATCCTCTCCAAGGCCTGAGCTCTTAGACCAATTCCAGCAGCACAGGCTAGCCTTGTCCCTGGGTGGTAACCCCAGAGACAGAGCTGCCTTTCAGAGAGATTTTGCTCTCTCATGACTTCTGGAAGACGGCTCTTTCCAATAGACTCAAAGATACTCAGCTAAAGCTGGAGGGTGGAGGGGATGGGGTCAGGACGCCTAGGCAGCTGTAATTTTATTTGAGGGCCATCTTGCACTGTCAATTCTCCCATCGACCCATGTACTAGCTGAGTGGTTTTGAGGCAAGATGGGAAACAGAGGGGCCAGGAGAAAGAAAAATCACCCCACTTCCACCGTTCCGGGTCTGACTTCAATCTCTTAATGGCTGACATGCGGGAATTTTGACATAACTGACCAGATCACCAGCATAAGAGCTGTCCCCTTCACAAGCGACACTTCACAAGCGAGACCATTAAAACAGCTCGTGATCCATGCCGAGTCCAACCCCACTGTGACCTATGTATGAGCAAGGATTCCTTTGATTGGTATTTTATCTCTCTTAGCAAGCCCTTCTCCAGTTACACAGTGGGCCTAAAAAATGTCTCCTTTACACAGACTGAATTCTGAGGATAAGAAAAAGGAAGATTCCAGCATATCCAAACTTAGCTACAGATTAGGTGGTTTCAAAGTGTCCAAGTCACGTGTGTAGCTGCTGCCCTGGTGCTTGGGGCTGTCCTTCTCCTAATGCTTGGCACTTGACTCTTTTCAAATGCAACTTGTTTTTCTGTTCCAGCAATCAACTCTCCAACTTTGCTTCTGTCTGATTCTTCCTGAAATGCTCTTCTATGGTGAACATCAAAGACCAGGGTCGTAGGCATAGAGGCCCCCTCTCCCCAGGCTCTGTGGGCCTCCTCACACTGCCCTGAGCCTCACTGTGTTCCTGTTGCTGGTGATGGTTTACCCCATTTCAGATGAGGAAACTGAGGTCTGGAAGATCTGGCAACTCTTCAGTGGACAGAGCCAGGGAGGGCCTTGAACTTTAAGCTTGGAGCCACTGAGCTGGCCGTGACCATAAGCAAGTCTGGAGAATGTGGGCCCTCACAGTTGGCAACCTGTGGGTACATGCCAGGGGTGCTTCTTCTATAGTACATGGGACATCTCACAACACAGAAGGACCTGGGTCTGAAAGTCAGGTCTACAGCTGCCCCCCTTCCTTGTCCACCTGGCCTTTCTGCTCACTGTTCCCCTTCAGGACAATGCCAGTGTTCCCATGTCATACACACTTCAAGCCTGGTTTGTGTATCCTGAGTCAGTTACCCCCTGCAACAGGTAAGCAAGTGCATCTTGGCGAATTGGTGGGGGATGGATCTAAAGCTTGCTTAAAGAGGTCCCACTCACACCTCCTTTACTACTAACAGGTCCTTGGCTGCAGACAGATGTGGGGTTCGAAAGGCCTGACTGGAGTCTGTGGCTCCAACTGTAGGTTGAAGAGAACGCTTCTTTCTAGGCAGGCCCCCACGAGCAAGAAGTGTACCCTTGACCTTCTTGGGGTGTGGAGGATGTATCTCAGGTGGTAGAATGCTTGGTGGTATGCACGAAACCCTAGGATCTAACACCACAAAAATAAACAAATAACGAGCAAACAAACAAAATAAAATAAAGATTTTTGGGGAGGGGTTCAAGCAGACAACTAATCTGTGTCAGAGACTGGCTTGAGCCGTCTTACCCCTTGGTTATGATGTCAGCCCCTAACTGACCCCCTAAGAACCTTCTAGAATTCCAGTGCTACCTATAACTTTCACATACACCCTGACTGATTCTGAAACTCCAAAGTCCTGTCTAGCACCAAAGACTCCCACCTTGGTCGTACACCAGGAAAACTTCACGGCCAAGCCTTGCGATCCAGACCCCTTTGGGCTGTGTCCACTGCTGAGCCTGGCTGCCCAGGTCCACGAACAACTCCCAGGAGGCACTTCCCAAATACCTTCTCTCCAGATTGGGGTGTCACCCTGCTAGTGGACCAAACTGTGTCCCCAGGATACATATCCATGGCCTGGAGTGTGTGGGTGCCTCTGTGGAAAAGGGGTCATAGCACATGCAATTGAATTAAGGTCTGTAGCTGAGTTCAGCCTGGATTGGGTGGCCCTTAGGAGGGGCAGAAAGAGGCTGTGTGAGGTACAGGCTGACACGTTGGTCAAGGAGCACATGGAGTTTTGAGAAGGGCAGTCTAGAGAGTGTGACCCTCAGATGGAGTGTGACCCGGCCACACCTGAGATTCTTAGACTCAAGGCCTGCAAGAGAGTCAACCCAGGGAGTGCGGTCTGCGGTGGTCTGTTTCAGCAGCCCCAAGACGGAGGTGCACCCTTCAGAATCCATACCCCACAGCCACAGCATCGTGAGCCTCTCTGTGTATTTTCCCCGCTGGGCTGAGCCTGGACGGGGTGGAGAGGATGGGAAGCAGGGCCCGCCAGTGGTCACTGTGGACCTGTGCTGTATGGCCCAGTGTGTTGTCTGTGAGTCTGCCTCAAGGGTCCCACTCACTCGGGGACTCCACAGAACAGCCATACCAGGACATGCTACCTATTCCTGCGACTTCTGTCTCTAGCCCAGGACAGACTGATGTACGTGAGATGCTCCCTTGAAATAACTATTGTTTTAGGAGTCTGGCCATCGCTTGCCTCTGCTGCCTTGGGCTTCTAGTCTACCACGGTGAAGAAGAAGACGAACCCCCAACAGCCTTCCTTGTACCTGAGTCTATGTGTGCCTCCACCCCCACAAACCCTGCTCTTTCTGAAGACCAGGATGAGGCTTCTCAGCAAGAGCGCCCAGATCTGTTTCTCACAGACAGAACACTAGGTCTCCCTGTGTCCCGAGTGGGCTTTAGGTCCATAGGGTGGCATTTATTGTGAGCAGAAGTCTGCTCACTGTCCTAAGTTCAGTTGCTTTTCGGTGAAGAGTGTGGTCAGGGCAGGGCTGCCAGGGCCTCTGTCCAGCATCTCCTGACAAAATGCAGCTGAGATGTGGGGTGACACCATTTAAGGGCCTTTCTTAGAAACCTGGGCCCACTTGCTCTTCTCTCTGGCTTGGCAAACATCTGACAAGTGTCTTCCTGCTAGAACTGTTAACATCAAGGAGCCCGGCCTAGGAAAAGATGCTCTGAAGGGAGCTGTTAGTGACAGGGTGGAGAGCGCCTCAGCAGGTGTCTGGGAGGGAGCGGAAGGACGCCAGCAGCCCAGGGAACATCCTTAGTCCCTACTCCCACTGAGAAAGGATTAGAAGGGACATCCAAGCTGCTGGAGACAGAGCTGTAGGCACCAGCTTATCTGCATAATCTGGAGCATCTGGATGATACCACTCTGTTCCTAGGACCTTTATAGGCATTTGACAGCTTTGATGCTGTTCAGATGAGGGTAAAGGGGCTTTAAACATGGAGCCAAGGGAACGTTCAGTATTATGCTGCCCCTTTGGACACAAACCTCCTGGGGTGGTAGAAGCACAGTGATCTGGTGTGGATTTCTGAAGCGGGGAGCCAGCAAGAGGGACAAGGCTCCGGCAGGGTGCTCCCAGTTCAAGTGGGCTGTGAGCCTTAGAGTCAGGAACGGGGACTCTAGCGAGACATGGGTGGCAGTGGGAACCTGATGGTGGCAGGGACCACGGTGGGGATTTGACCATCAGATGGAATACACCCGGCTCCCACGAAGCCCTTTTCTTTCAGTGCTGGCTCATCACTGGGAAAAGCAACTGGGGAGTCCTGGTGCTGGAACAGTGCCTGCACACAGTTGGTGCTCAATAGAAGAACAGAGGAAAGCCTCATGCAAAGGTGTCTCAACCTAATTTCGTTCTGACAGCAAACACAGAGGCAGTCAGGATTGCCATGGCTCTGCGTGGCCCCTCAACACGCACTGCGGTGCTTTGTAGACCCCACCACTTCACAGGGTCCCATGTGATTCTCACCTCTGTCTTACCACATCCCTCTCCCAGCGCCCTCCAGGGCAGCCTGCTCTGAAGCCAGCATTGATTTCTCTCTTTTTTGTGTGTATATGGCGAGTTATTGGTCTCCTGTGTGTATGTGATCAAAAGTGGACGGGAGATTGGAAGAAAGCAAAACAAAACACTGCTGGCGCTGATCAATGGCGGGACGGGTGATGTGTCACTTAGCAGGCTGGGAGACACAAATCACTGTGGGGAGCACAGGGCTCAGAATGGATGGAGGGCTCAGAATGGATGGAGTGCAAAGTGTCCTAAGCAGCGCTGGATACTGGGTGTCCATTGCCAGCCATGGTCCTGCCCCCTTCCCTGAGGTCAGCCCCCAACGAAAGCCCCCTTTCCCACATGGCCTTCTGAGACTGCCACAAGAGCCTCTTCTCCTGGAGGGCCAAGTTGGGAAGCGGAAAATAGATGTCTAAGTGTCATAAGCACCCGTAGGTTCCTTGAGCACATGGAGGATCCAGGGGCCCCTTGGAGCTGCTCCGTAAACACCACAGTGTCTGGAGGGTCCCCAGGAAAGGGTCACTTCCTGTTTATAGTACTGGAGCCCTAGTCTTACTCTGTCATGGGGAATCTGCGGTAAGGTTTAGAGTATCTGGTTTCAGGCCCCTTTCCCTGGGCTGGGGAGGAACTGCTATTTATAAGTACTTGCTAGCTAATAGTCTGCCATCCTCTGAAGAGGAGAATCTGAGGGAGAAGCGCTCAGACCCCAGGAAGCTCACTCTGGTCACAGCAATCAGCATTGCATGACGCCATTGGCCAGTGATTCACAGAAGCACGGCTTTCCCTTCACCTCTGGAGAAGCATCCTAGGGATTCAGAGGCCATGCACTGCTCCGTGCAGGCTTCTCTCAAGGGAGAGGCTAGACAGGCAATGGGTGCCCACCCCATCCCCAGCCAACATCTGCCCCCAAACTCTAGTTCCTAAGGGGCTGAGATCATAACCCAGGCCCCGGGGAAGGAAGAATGGGTAAATGGGCGGCAGGCTCGCTTTCCTTTACTGAGCTTTGCCCAGGGGGGACACCCAGGAAAAAAGAACTCAGTCTCTTCTTAAAATCAGAAAGGAACACAGAGCTTCTAACAGCCATGAAAGGAATCGTAAATGAGATACAAATCAGCTGTCATTAGAACACCAAAGAACTGATGGATTCTCTCCCTGGAGCGATGGGAACCGCCGGGAGCCGTCAGCATGGGAGATGACTGGACACCACCCTGCCACTGGGCAGGGCTGCACAGCCTCACGTGGGAGACCTGTCTGTCCCACTGTCTGTGACTCGGATTAGCACAGGGGCCATTCCCCGGTCTTCCCAGGAAAAAGCTCTTGGGAGACTGACTCTGCTCAGTCCACAGCCCTTGAAGTTGTCTGCCTAAGAGGTAGGCACTGTGGTGAGGGCAGGGACTAAGTCCTCCAGGCACCCCAGGGACACTTACCCTGTTGTCACCTTCAGGGGCCAGCGGGTCTGTCATCCAGGACCCGAACCTCGAGCCAGAGGTCTTGACGGTCACTGGGTCACTTATGCCTGTCAGCTTCCCGCAGGCTGGAACAGAGCACACACAGGTCAGGACCAGGACCAACAGATGACCGATGCCCCTGTTCCCTCTCCCTCTGGTACAGCCTGGCTCAGAGGATGGGTGCTGCATCCTCTTCCCCTCCAGGTCTGGATGCAGCAGCTCACGATGTGGTTCTCACAGGCCCCACCAGCAACCCCAGAGGCCGGAGGAGCCGCCGCTTTCCCAGACAGAGCAATTGAGGTCAGGATGGACAGGGCACAGCACTGAGTGGCTGTCCTCCTGGTCCTCATGTCTCCTTGAGGAACCTGGGGATGGGAGGCCAGGGCAGCCCTGGTGGCAAGTAGGGGGTTGGCCTCAGCAAGCCTTGGTCTTCTCCGAGACAAGAGAGCTCAGCCCCCTTGGCTGCTAGAATAAAGCACTGGGCCAGCCTGGCAGCCTGCAGGGGGTAACTTAGGCTCAGTGGGAGACACTGAACCCAGGCAGGATTTACCCTCCGAAGCGGTAAGATCACCCTGAGCCCAGGGACAGTACCCCACGCTGTGGGGGAGCCTCCCTGTGCATTCTCTCTTGGAACTAGCCCAGTGGGAAGGCCTTGCCGCCTTTCTGTTGGAGGTCTGTGGGATTTCTGTGTCCCAAGAGGACTGGCCCCTGGCAGATTTGAGCTTCATAATCCATAGGGTGTGACCTCTACAGCCCTCTGCCCTCATAGACGGCCAGAGATGCCCTACAGCTGGTCATTCAGGCTAAGGCTGGGGCCCAGCATTTCTGCCTCAGCCTGCAGCTCTCCTGAAACACTGTGGGCCCCCAGCTTGAGCCTGCTGGGCCATATGGCTATCACAGTGCTCAAAGATACCAGCTCTGCCCCTGGCAGCCAGCTGGCCTGAGCCACACAGGACTTCTAGAATGCAGGTATCTCAGCAACCCTCGAAGGGCAAAATGCGCTGGGCGGGAGGTGAGTTGCTCCTCTTCAAGGACTCCTCCTTCTCCCCATCCATCTAGATCAGGCCTGTGGTGTGTGACACCTCCCCCTTAAGTCTATAGGATACCCCTCAAGGGCCACATTAGCATACACACGCAGTGTATGCAAAGTTCAGAGAAGATCCAGGCGCTTATGGGAGATTGTCAGAGACTTAACCTGAGATGACAGGAAAGCAGGGCTAATCCTACAGCCAGCAGGGTGGGTCAGGCCCAGGGGAGGGCGCAGCTCCACCAGCTCCCATATTCAGCACCATCTCCCCAAGCCTGAAGTGGGGTAGGCATGCCCACTGCAGTGTTGTACAAGACTGGAAAGATGAAATCACTCAGCTTGGCCCTTAACAGTGGGAGGCTTGGCAGGACTGAGAGAGAGCCTGCTCCAAGCAGGAGAAAAGGCAAGGCGGCTCTGGGCCAAGATTCCCACCAACGCCCTGGTGCTGGCACCTCTGTACTGCGCCCACTCTGTTGTCCCTTCCCCAAAGGAATCTCCCCTTCCAGGAAGAACTCTGAGTTTCCCACCCCAATGCTTCCTCTCAAGGCTTGAAGCTTCACAGCAGTCTTGGGTGGGAAAGTCAACCAGCTCATTGCTGAGCACTGGGCATGTCCGCTTGGCCTCTGTGCACACTGCCCAGCCCATCCTGACCAAGTAGGGAATGGGGAAAGGTCAAAGTTAACCAGTGTCTCAGGGGATGGACGTGAGGAGCCTGGTGGGTTCTTGGAAAAGATTCCTTTTCCATGAGAGCTGGGACCAGCCACACACACATTTTTTCTCTCTCTCTCTCTCTCTCTCTCTCTCTCTCTCTCTCTCTCTCTCTCTCACACACACACACACACACACACACACACACACACACACACGCATGCCTCCTGGGGTTTGGGTGGGTGCGTTGTGGGATGCATGCAAAGAAGGAGCAGGGGAAGGGAGTGTCCACACTGGACTCCACCCCTCACCTCCCATTCATTCATCCTTTGCACCTGTTGAGTCCTGGGCTATTAGGAAACAAAAGTTCCCTCTGAAGTGGGTGGGAACTGGGAGAAGCCAGAAAGAGCCACCCTCTCCCCAAGCTCTCTGCCAGCCCCCACCCTGCCACCTACTAGCATCCACGGAGCCAGTGTCTTCCCATGGAAGGTCCCCCACTGACCCTGGAGATATGTTCTGTTAGCTGTCTGGAGGAAGAGGCCCAAAGGCACCATTATGCTCAAGTGTCCTGTCTGGGGACCCAGGTGGGAGCCCTCCTTCCCACCCCATGGCACACTGCGCTTGTGGCCAATTCATGTGGCTCAGTCACACAACAGGTTTTCTGAGATGCCAGCTTACACTAAGATCTGTCCCAAACCTGTAGCAGACCTTTCCCAGGTTGGCCAGCCTGTCCTGAAGAAACCCCAACATCTGTCCTGTGCAGCACCCCAACATGGCAGAGAAGGTAGGAAGGTGCTTACTTCCCTGTCTCCACAGCTTGGTTCATTTTGCTGCTGAAAATGAGCCATCTCGCCAGCTCACCTTCCTAACCAGCTTCTAGGGCTGGTCCGAGACTCATGCCCAGTCCCTAAAGAAGTTTTCATCCTGAACTCCATCCTATCCATCTAGGAGACCTCAGCTGGATCGCACATATCCCGGGGTTGCCAACAGGAGCGCCTGGGGCCTGCTGCTCCAGGGAGGAAGCCTCCTGTACTCGCACGAATGAATGAATGAATGAATGAATGAATGAATGATTCAGCTCTCAGAAGAGCCTCCTGAGTCTGTGCTTCACCACCTGACCCAACGCTGGGCACAGTAGGGAGCAGGCAAGTCTCTGGGGGAGTGCAGTCCACCCTGCACACTGCCCATGTTTACCTCAGTCACCAGCAAGCAGGCACTAGACCACCAGTGCCTTGGAGAAGACACGTGCAAGCTGGCACAGGTGCACAGCACAGGGCTTCCAGAACACGTCCGTTTGAGTGTTCAGTCACCCCACTGTGAACTCAGATGGGGAACGGGCAGAAGACAGCCAGGTCGGGGGTATCCTGAAAGAATCCTACCACATCCTGTCCATCTGTCCTTTTCTTCTCACTGTCTTAGAGAGTGACAGAGGGTCCTTGCATGTCTGAGCCTTACAGAAAGGCTGTCCATCCATCAGGTGGCCTGCTGGCCACACCCAGCCCTCCTCCATGAGACAGTGGCCAAGGCAGCCAGCCTTTCAAGGCTGACTGAGGAGGGTGGGGAGGTGTGGTCACCAGGTGCCCTGCTCTCTAAGCTGCTGGTAGCAGGCACTGCTCCCAGGGCGCATGGGGCTATAGGCTGCCTGCTCTCCTTGAGTCAAGGAGTTATTTTTGGTTCTCTGTCCACACTAGTTCTGCCGAGACTTTGGGACTGACAGGATATAAAAAAGCCTGTGGCAGAGGCTTGGAGGCATCTTGGTAACATCCAGTTCTGGGATGTGCCTTTCTCCAAGCCTCACGCTCAGGACACAGGCGTGCGGTGGGGAGGGACCAGTCCTGGGGCCTCAGGAAGTGACCTGAGGGGAAGGTGGTACCCAGCTGGGAGGGTCTTGGGCTAGGGATACTTGGCCACACTGGGAGCCAGAGAAGCCAAAGGCCCCAGGATGAAGCCACATGCCATGTGCCTTGTGTGCCTCCTGAGAGGAGACCAGTCAGAGCAGCCTGGAACAGCTCAGGGGTGAGGCTGAGGATGGAAGACCACCAGACACTCAGACCAGGAATGGCATGCCTGGGAGGCAGAGACCGGGTGAGGCAATATGAAGCCTAAAACAGACCTGCCCTTGGCCTAACGTCTCAGCTTTGAACCCCGGCAAGAGCCAGGGGAAAGAACTCTGCAGTGAAGCGAGAAGTCCAAGATGCAGATGAGATAGCTGAGATGTGCCTTGTCCCAGAGCCCGCAGTGGGCTGTGAGAATCATCTTGGAGTCTTCCTTCCCATCCTACCCCAGCCAGAAAAGGCCAGGCGCCCACTGAACTTTCAGCACATGCTACCCTGACCACTGTTCAGAATGAACGGGGAAAACAGGCCTGGCCTGGCAGGTGTGGCAGGTGTGGCAGGCCACAGGCTTCCCAGGCTGGCTCCATGGGGCCGCTCCTGCCTAGGCACTTGACTCTCCCTTTCATGACTGATCGCACAGCCTCGTGGGCTGTTCTTGCCACTGTCCCTGCCAACGAAGGCCAACCTCTCCCTTCAGATGCTCCCTGAAGAGTGCGTAGGGTTCACAACAGAGCAACACTGCATTCAGTGTACCCCGCAGGGCAGGGGTCTGCAGTTGGAATCCCACCACCATGGACACTGGGTGACTGGCTTCTCTGGCTAGCAGGAGACCTGCAAGCTGGAGCCTCAGGCTTTACTAGGACGTGTCCTCGGTGAAGTGAAAAGCACCCGTCCCCTGCTTGGCCTAAGGCATCTGGGGGCTTCCATCCCACCCTCTGAAAGAACAGAAGCCAGGAAGCCCTTGACATCAATTCTAGGACAGTCTGACTGGGATATTGCCTAAGCTAGCCGTCCTTCAATGGCAGTGAGGGCTGAGGAGGCCTGCAGCAGAGGCCAGGCTGGGGAGCAGCCGCATTGCACAGCCGTGCTGGGGTCAAGGTTCTGGCCTTGCTCAGGTTAGCTGCTGGGATCTGACCTTGCAGCATCTTCTCGGGGGGCGGGGGGGACAACGGCAGGGTGCTGGGCAGCACTGCTCTCCTCTGCCTGGGGACAAGTCTTCCAGGGAAGGCCCATGCTGGGCCCAACCTCCGTGCCCAGCCCAGCAGTGAGAGGTTTCGAATTCTAGGTCCTGGCTGGGCCACTGGGACAAGTGTGCTACCTCATCCACAGGGACCAGAAGCAACTGGAACTCTGGTCCTCAATTGGCTGTTTCTATGTGTGCAAAGGGCAGAGATTGTCAGCAACTGACTTGAAAGGTGGGCAGAGGCAGCCAGGGAGGATCTGATTATGAGACTTTAGAGCGATGCAGGGAGACCTCACCTCCCTCACTCCCCAGGAAGGCAACAGAGGCCCTGCTCAGAGGCCAAGCACCTGCAGAGGGCAGACACACCTTGGAGCCAGGGGTGGGGGTGTGGGGGGGTGTCGAGGGCATGAAGAGACAGCCAGCTACTGAGTCTTAACTAGTGCAGAGTCCCGCCCACCCACAGGGCCGACAGTGGGCACTGCCCATCACAGCCCTGGAGCCACATCCTGGAGGGGTTGGGGGATGGTGCCTCTAGGCCAGCTGAAACAGACTGAGTTAAGCAGCCACCAGGTATCAGTCCTTAAGCTCTTGGGCTGAATGAAGTCCCGGGAGGAGGGACAGCTACTAAACCTATCTATAGATCTATCAATCAACTTCTATCAGCTGCTTTCCTGCTTGTCCATCACTATCACTGACCGATCATCTACCTGTCTATCCATTTGTCATTAGCTCTGCCTCTGTCTGTAGTACCATTCCACTTACCTCTCCCCACCCCCACTTTCCACCCACCCACCTGCTTATGGCCCCATCACATTCCCCAGCTCCTCTGAGCTAGGCAGTGCGTAGCCACTGACATACATGACATCTATGACTTTCCAGTCACCCAGGGCTCAGGGACTCCCTGTGCTTTTGTATTGTAAACAAGGAGCTGCTGCGGCTGGAGATGGCAGAGACCTGGGAATAGTCCTCGCTGTTGAAGGGCTTGGACTGCTTTAGCTATGTTACAGCTCAGCGCCCCAGGGATGCCCAGGCCAGGGCACAGACACTTGCAGCAGCCCCTCCTAGGACAGAATTACATGCCCAGGTAGCCACGTTGCTGTGCCCCGGGGTGGGAACACCCAGCTTCACGATTCTCTTTTCTTTCCCGAATCACAGGTCTTAACAGTCCAAGAGCAGCCACGTGAAAGCCCCAAGATCCTATGCCATAAGGTAAACTCACGCAGTTGCTAAAAATAGGCTGAGGACAGATGGAAAGCCTGGCTCGGCTCGGAGGGCCTAGAGAGTCGGGTGGGCCTGGCTCCCTCTCCCAAAGGCCCTTAGCTTGGTGACCTTGGTAACATCGTGCTGCTGGTCTCCTGGGATTCCCTCGGTTCCTCCTGGACATGACACTCAACCTGGACACAGGAGGGTAAACAGTAGTTTCGGGGAAATAAATAGCAAACCCTGTCTCTGGGCTCTTCAGAGAACAGGGAGAATTCTAGGTGCTTGGTGTTGGGAAGGCTGGGAAAGAGATAATGGCAGACTCATGGCCGTCGTGAGTTCTCAGGGAAGAGAGTGGAGGAGGCCCACAGCCTGTTCCTCAGCCCCACGTTCTGGGAACCCCTAGAATGTGCACACAGGCAGTGAAGGAAGCTGTCATTCAGACACCTTTCTGGGCTGACTAGGGCCACCAGCCCCTGCCACACTGGGACATGGGTTCCATGAGACCCAGCAGTAAGTAAATACACGAAGAAGAGGATGCCTTGGTGGCAGTGTTGCTTCCAAACAATTAGTCCCCAGTGCCACCACAGCCTCCTAATGCTTCAGACCTGGGAATCCAAAGCATTCCACCTTTACTGGGGACAAGCCAGGAATCATCTGGAAGCCAGTAGACCTACTTTCCTACCAGATAGTTTTACTTGCCTGTCACCTAACCCCAGGGATCTGTACATACATGTTCAAGTGTGCAGGTACACATTTGTAGTATGACGTGAAGACCAGAAGACAGCTTTCGGTGTTGTTTCTCAGGGGCCACCCACCTTATTTATTGAGATGGGAGGGTCCTCTCACTGGTCTGGAATTTTCCATGGAGGCCAGGCTGGCTGGCCAGCACGCCCTCATGATCTACCTGTCTCCGGCTCTGCTTGGCTTGTTTTAACAAGCATCCTAGTTAGTGAACTCAGGTTCTTTACCAACTGAGCCATCTCCTTGGCCCACATACACCAAGGATTTTCAAAGGTGTTTGCTCTTTGGGGTGTTTTAAATGTATAAGGCACGGTTGGAAAATGAACCAAATCAGAGCATTGGATGGAGCATGAAAAATCCATCAGGAGACAAAGTCATATGTTATGAAAATCAATGAGCTGGCTGGGCTCTAGAAGGAATTCAGAAGCTGGGATTGAGACATGACATGTGCAATTTAAAATGGCCCCAAACAGCAGCTCTCTACCAACGCCACTGACCGGGTAACTAGATCAGGCATGAGAATCCAGAGGCCGCCCACCTTGGCGCTGTCAGGGTGCATGAGCCCAAGAGGGAAGGGCCCCTTGCTCACTGGTCCGCTCCTCCCAGGCCGCTGAGAGCCCTTTCCTGCTTTGACCACCACCTGCTGCTTCAACATGACTGGGGTACCCCTCTTTCTAACCCCAGCTAAGCCTGGTTCACTATCTCGAGGTCTTTCCTCAGGTCCTTCTCAACCTGGATGAAGACGTTTCCAGCCCTTTTAAACTCATCTTAGAAACACACGCATGGACAGCATGAACGTGCATGCACACACGTGCACACAAGCACTCACTCCTGTGCGCACACACACAACACCCATATGATGGCATGTGGCACGGAATACCATCTCATTTTTTTTCCTAATGTGAGAGTCAGCATGGTTGGCACAGGGCTCGCACACGGGCAACTCCCTGGGGCGGGTGTTACCTATACTCCAAGCCGCTGTCTTTCTGGGTGGCCCGGCCCAGAATCCCTGAGGCAGCCTTCTCGGCTGAGGCCAGGCATCTGCTGTGGCTTCAGCCCTACTCCCTACACCTACGTGTGTGACGGAGGAGGCGGGCGGGCAAGCGCCGCGCCCACAGGGTGCTGGGCCTACCTAGTTTTTGCATGCATGCACGGAGCCTTTCTTCAAGATTGGACACTCTGCTCTGAAGTTCATCGTAGTCATAGGCGCCAATTTCTTCTTGCAGCTCGTTAAGCACTGACGTCAGATTCTGGACCTCCTCCTTAAACTGCAATACCAATTTGGCATCGGCCTTGTACTCTTCCAACACAGGGATCAAAGGCCTAAGTTCATCCATTTTCGCTTTTATCGCCTGCAAGGTTAAAATAAGCTGGTTCAGTGCAATGCATGCAAGAACTGAAAACACCCTGCCTCGGCCTGGCTCGTCTCTACTCGAGGGAAGGTGCGCACACTCCCGCATTAGCAATCCATCAGTTATCCTGGTCCCAGTGAGTCAGGAGAGCGTATTAAACAGTCCTCAGAACACCAACGTATTTGGGAAAGGTCTTTATTATCAGTCGAGAATGCAACATCTTAAGGTTACATGCTTTAAGTCACATACACAAAGTTTGTTTGTTTTTTTTCTTTCTTTTTCAAAAAATGCATTGACAAGGGTTCAAACTATTCATGGAATGAATGCACCTAGAGTCGCATGCAAGAAGGATCCTGGCTGGAGTCAAGGTTCCTTAGTGAAATGGTGCTAAGGATTGGAAAAGAATCATAAAAATGCATGGTGCAAAAAGCTGTCTCATGGTTAGATGGGAGTGGACTGCTTCTTCAGCCACAGGCGCATTGAAAAAACTCTTAAGTTAGCCCTGCAAGCAAGAAAACGAAACGCTGTTGAAAAGCTAGCTCACTAGCCTGCCTAAAACAGCCATTAACAGACACGTATTTGCATGGTCACTTAAAAAAAATTCACACTTTAATGCTAGTTAAACAAACTGTAGTGACGGGGACCCCTCAAGGTTTCTGTGACGCTCTCTCATGCAGTGACTGCAGTATAAAAGGCAAAATTTTATCTTGGCCCCAGAACCTCAAAACCCCCAATTTTGGAATTTGGAGGGGCCTCTGTAGATGACAGTCACCAAGGGGAACTATGTCATGTTGTTGAAGACGCCCCTGTCTTTAGAGGTGTCTGAAGAGGGAAGATGCTGGCTGACTCTCTGAGGAGAGATACAAACATGGTCCATTAGGTCACCATCTCTCTTCAGGATAAGGCAGGACGGTCCATCAGAAAAAGGGACCCAGTGTTCCCTGCCTGGGACAGAGTCACTGGCTCGCTTCCCCTCAATGGGATCAGTCTATTATTTTATTTATAATATAGATTTATACCTTCATTAGCTAGCCATTTTGCCTACCTAATGTACAGCTTTTAAGGGAGAATTAGCTCTTGCTTCACATAGGTAGCACATCAAAGGATAACATTAGCATAAAAGGACAGGAAGACAGAGACGTGCTCAGCAATTTCCAGCCAGGCAGCTGTGTAATTTGACCTGTTCATTTATATCTGGGCCTGATTCCTAATTAACATGCATGAACACCTTAATTAAGGTGGTGGATAATTCCCAACCTAGTCTTGGTGGAGAGTCGTGTATATATACATACTTGTACATATGTATATATAATTTCAGGTCAAAGGAAGCGCAGTTTTTAATGGCCAGGGTCACCTGGAGTTTCGGCACACTTACCGAGAGCTGAGAAAGACCAGGGCCTTGCGTCTACTGTTCGCCTTGTCACAGCTAAATTAGGTCGGATGTGAAAAACTGCCCTGAGTGATCCGGGCCCAGAAAATGGCTCTAATCAATTAAGCTAATCCTCAGCTAATGTGATTTACCTGCAGCAGCTGTGGCACGCTGAGGGCCTCTAATGATGCTCCTGCCCAGCTAATAACACCTCAGCCTAGAAGCTGGGGTCTGGGACCCTGCTCCCTAAACAGGCTGACGAGGGAAGGATGAAGGGAGGGGTCAGCTTCAGTGGCCAGCGTGGGGCGGCCTCTATTCCCAGGGTGGCAAAGCTTTGTAAGGCAGAGAGCAGTCCTTGCAGTATTACCCCAGGCCCCAAGTCACCATCTCTGTGAGGAAAGGGGAAGCAGGAAAGGAAAAATAAAGGGAAGAGGACAGGGAAGAGGAGGGAGAAGGCGGGGGGGGGGGGAGAGAGGGAGGAGCAGAGGGGGAAGGAGGAAGAGGTGGGGGAAGGAACAGGAGGAGGCGCCGGAGGAAGAGGAGGGAATAGAGGAGGGAGACCGGGAGGACAGAGGAGTAGTGGGGGAGGGGAGGGACACACATACCTTGAACTGCCTGGCCAGGTGTTGCTTATGGCTCTCCTCCACCTGCTTGAACTTGGACTCTAGCCCTTTCATTTGGTTCTCCATCTTCTCCACATACTGCAGGTCTCTCTGAGTCCGCCTGTCCAAGACCTCTATGGATTGAGACATGTTTTGCACCTGTCAAAAGGGTAACAGGTTCAAGGCAAGAGCTGTGGCAGATGCCAGACGGTTTCATTTGTCTGCCAGGCTGACCTTTCCCACAGCACCACCCTGGGAGGCAGAAGTGGCCCAAGCATGATTTACTAGTTAATCACCAGCATTAGACCGTTAGGGCCAAGAATTCCCCAAACACAGCAAATTGGCCGGGTAAATATCCCCTCTGCCCTCCTACAATAGGGGACACAGGTCAGGGCAGGGGCCTCCAGTTCCTCCAGGCTTGGGGCCAGGGCTCATTTCTCCCTGTGTTCAGGGGTGGGTTTGGTGCTATCATATACAGGGCAATGGCATCTGTCAGGCAAGCACTCACAGCAGGAGACAAATCCAGGACTATGCTGGGCATGCGGGGGTATGGGGGTACACATTCCCCTTCCCCTGAAGTCTCCCGGAGTGTCTTGCTGAGGAGGCTGGGGGTGTGAGAGCAGAATGAAGGAACAGGGAGCCACACCAGGCTCCGTAATGAGCCTTTTCCCATCATGCATGCCATCCATCACCCCCCACCCTCCACAATATCATAGGCGGATGACTGCGTGGCAAACACGCACATTCAGAACAGAGAGTCAGAAATCAATCACGCAGCAAATGAAGGATCGCTGTTTCACATCCTTACGGGCTGAATGGAGTGTAGCCTCAAGATGGGACTTTAATATTCAACACGATTCCAGAAAGCGTCAAAGAAAAACAGTTTTGGTGCGGCCACCTGCCAGCACATTTCATTTTCAGGAAAGTGGCTCGTGCTTCTGTGCGAATGCTCAGCTCGCTTGCTTGCTGGGGTGCGGGGAGGGGAGGCCAAGCAAAGCCAACGGTGGAGGACGCTGCAGTGGACTGGGTCATTTTCTCAGAATCTAATCCAATTACCAACAAGGGAGGTTTGTCCGGAAGGGCAGATCTTGCTGGTTTTCTTCTTCTTCTGAATTCGAAAAGACTCTCCCTTCTAGGAACAACGTCCTTGAAGAAGAGGTTTGGCTTCACTGTTCAACGGTCCTGGGGTTCCCATCTCCCACTACAAAGCCTCCAGGCAAGTAGATGAAGAGCCAGGATGGACCTTCCTCAGCTGATATTGCCCACCTCAGCCCTTAAAACCGCAGGGAGTTTGGGGCCCTGAAATCCACACACACAAATTCACTGCAACATTGCAAGTTTACAGAGCCAACTTGCATGTGGCTCTGACTGTGACTCTGCACCTGTCTACGAGGAAGCCAGATGTACCTGTTTCACGGCCGCCCTCTGCACCCTCCCCACCCCCTAAAGAGCCCTGGTGCTTCTTCCAGGAGATGCTGTCAAGTTTGTTTTGGCCCCTCCTTCAAGACCCAGCCCAAATGTCACTGCCTCCAGGGAGCCTTCCAGGATGAGCTAAGGCTCCAAACTACTTGGAAACAGTATTACCTATTGGCGCACTGGAGGGAGGGGACGGGGCCACTCCACATCTGGTCCTAGAACAGGCACAGCCAATGCAGGGAGTCTGGCTGAGGGGAAGGACAGCATGGTCAAAGCCTCTCTTTCCATTCTGCTCCTTGGACACAAGATGTTGGCAGCAAGAACAGGATTCAAACAGCACCCAGTCTCAAACAGCAGGCATAGGAGAAGGGCTGAGCCCAAGTGGGCTTTAGGTGAGAGACCACAAACACAGTGTACACGTGTGTGTGTGTGTGTGTGTGTGTGTGTGTGTGTGTGTGTTTCTCATGCCCCCGCAACAAACTGATGCTTTTAACAAATTTTTAAAAAATTAAAAATTGGGGGCTGGAAAGATGGCCCAGCAGTTAAGAGCACTGGCTGCTGTTGCAGAGGACCCAGGTTCAATTCCCAGCACTCACACGGGAGCTAACAGCCTTCCATAACTCCAGTTCCAGGGGACCCTACGCCCTCTTCTGACCTCTTTGGGTATTGCAGGACACGGTGCACTTACATACATGCAGGCAAAACATTCATACACATAAAAATGTTTTAAAAAACTTAAAAATTATCCTTTACATTTAAGAGACATATTTTAACAATGCCAAGCAACTCGACTGCTTTCAAAATAAACCAAGGTCCGACCCTACACACACACTTTCTAGCCACTTGCTCTGCTAAGCCTTCCATAAGGGAGCCTGGGGTCACAGCCCCACACTGTCCTATCCTAGAGAGGGCCTCTGGCCACACCCCCTTCCATCTCCAGGAGTGTCCCCAGAAGCCAACCAGCACACTCAAGGTCACAAGGCCATGGGGTACTAAGGCACCAGTGTGGTGGCTGCTGGTGCATGAGGTGGGAGACGGGGCAGCCAAGGCAGCCACACACCTGGTCCCTCTCAAGAACCATTAATCACTAATGTTTATTGACATGACCTTCACCGAAAGAACCTGGAAGTTAAACTATTGAGTCCCATTTGCTAATGCAGATAGGTCAGATCAGAGAAGTTAAGCACTTGCTCCTGTCAAACTGCTAGCTCAAGGTCTGGGGGTCTAGAGCCCCTAGACTTAGACTGTGCACTCTTCATAGGACACAGTCCCTTGACCCCACCCTCATTGCGCTGTATCCCCAACTCTTGCATTTCAGGGTCATTCACCCAGGCTGTACCTTAGACCCTTGGGGAATTGTGTAGGATTCAAAGTGGACCAAAACCAGAGCTTCTAGGGCAAGGTCCCAGGACCTGACCTCCTGCTGTGTCTCCGGGTGGCTCGAACACAGAGCCAGTTCCAGGTACTCAACCACTAGGGCAGAGCCAGGAGCAGGGGATTCCAGAGCCTTTTCCCCACTACTGGTTAGGACGGTAGGTTCAGTGTATGCCAGGTCTAGGCCCAGGCCTAGGGCACGAAGGTGGAGCAGGCCTGTCCCATCATCACTGGCAGCAAAGGGCCTCTTTCCCAGGCAGTGCTCAGGGGCCTCCCAAAATAGAGTCTGCACTGCATGAAATAAGGCTTTAAATTTTTAAGCAGCAACTGTGGCCTGCATAGGCAGAAAGGAAAGCTGTGCGGCCTCATTCTCAGAGGCCCCTAGAGCTTGCCTAACCATATCCCAGCTCTTCCCTCCTCCCAGGGCCCCCTGGCTTGGGCCTCAGGCCCTGCCAAGCTCCGCCCCTTCTCTTCAATCCTGAATAATTAAAGACTCATTTAGGCTCTTGTCTAGTTTGGTGTAAAGAAATGCTGGTGGACGCTGTTAAATATATTTTACTTTAACTCTTTACAAATGATTTACTCTGGTAGTTAAAAGTGGCAAAAATAATGATAAATACCCCCCCCCCCCCGAAAAAAACCCCAAAAAAAAAAACTTCGAAGTGGCAAAAATAATGATAAATACCCCCCCCCCCGAAAAAAACCCCAACAAAAAACACTTCGGTCTTTTACGGTGTGTGCTATGAGCTGACTCCACAGGCATCAGGATGGGAACAAGCTCCCAGGTCCCTTCCTGACAGGAGCTGGAGTGACCTGAGTCCTTGAAACCCCTAGTCTGTGCCCTGACACTGCATCTGAGGAGACAGTCCAGCTAAAGTGACTGCTCTGCCCACAGAGGGAGGTGGGAGTCCTTCAGTAGGCAGGGCTCCAGCTGAGGAGGCCTGGTCCTCGCAGGGGTGAGGCTGGTCTCCATCCACTGAAGTAGTGAGCAGTAAAGGGGATGTCTGCCCTAGGACCTTTAAGTTACAAAGGACCCCTTCGCCACAGATCTCCACAGGTGACACTGTCTTGGGAAGTACAAGACCAATCACTGGGGCAAGTGTGGTGTAGGATAGTGTGTGGGGGTGTGTGTGGTGTGACCCCACTCTTTCCAGGTGGGAAGGGTTCATGCTTGAAGGGGGGGAGGGATCCAGGCAGCGGAAAGGCCCCTCATTTTTCCTTCTGCTTATGACGTACTTCAGCTAGTCAGTACTGAGGTTCACTGCAGAATCTGGAGTCCCTGGGGCATCCTGTAAACACCTTGGGTGAGAAGGAGAAACCAAACAGGAAAACAGCTGGGCCAGCATCTCCACTGAGCTGCCCTGCCAGCCTGAGCTGTGTGGTCTGGGGACACAAGTCCTCTTGGGACGCAGATCTGAAGAGTGACCAGTCCTGCTTGCGGCTTGTGATGACCAAATGATATATAACATAAAATGTGTGCTTGGACAACAGGTTGCTGTCCTGAGGAGGGTTACCAAGGAACCACCCAGGAGCATCAGTGATGAGAGCACCTGGGCAGCCAGGTCTGGCTACCCAGCAGCAGTACAGAGACATCCCCGTGTCCTGTGTGCCAGACACCCCAGGTCTACAGTCTCCCTGGCAGCAGTTCTGAACCCTTTGGATTAGACTCTGAGCACTGCTTAGAGAAGATATGGCATGAGGCCAACGAGCCCTGCATCCTGTCTCTATGACACACCTTGCAAACTCCTTCATGGAGCCCCCAGAGACCAGGAAGCAGGTGTATTCATCTCCCCACCAGAGCTGTTCTGGTTCCCGGGCTACCCCATCTCCCCACCTGTCCAGACATCCACCCACTCATTCATTCACAAATATTCAGAGTGGGGACATGTCAGGAGAGGCCTGGGGTGGGCCTCGCAGGCCAGTCAAACCTTGGGCCTGCACACAGCATCACGCCAGAGATGTGTGAGCTGACGCAGGCCCCCTGCGGACTCACCTTCTCCAGTAGCTGCCTCAGCTGTTTTGTGCGGGCGTCTCGTGAACACATGGTCTGCTGGGGGGCGACCACTGTGCAGATACACCTTCCCTCACTGTCCTGGGCGGAGCTGTACACCTGCCAGCTCTCCTCAGGGTTGGTGGGCAACACCTGGAAGGGACAGGTGGAGAAGGGGATGAGAGAGAGAGAGAGGAGAGAGAGGAGAGGAGAGGAGAGAGAGAGAGAGAGAGAGAGGGAGGGAGGGAGAGAGAGAGAGAGAGAGAGAGAGAGAGAGAGATGTATGGAGCAGGGCGAAGCGACAGGGCACA